AGGTATTCCACCCTAGTGTGTAGAATCCTGCACAACGGTCATATCAATGGTCTCTGATCTGTCTTCCTGAGTACATCCTGTTCTAAATATATAAAGAGAAGATAAGGTGATAGTTTTACAGTGCTTGTTTTGATCACCCAAAAATAACAAACTCACTACCATCAAGTTGATTCTGACTCACAGCGAACCTATATTCTCATGTCTCTGGATGACTTTAAAGTTAGATATTTGAAGTTTAGATGTTAAACTAGTAAATATGTATCTTCAATTTTATTTAGGATTACTCTTTATTTGAAAGATTAAAGTTAATCTCATTCACATGATGAATTTTCTACTTTTCTTTAAACTCTGATTGAATATGCCTAAGTATTCTAGTGAACACAAACTAACCTAACTTTAAAAACATAAAATTTAATGTGTCAGGAGTATAGGAGCTGAGCCTTCCCCATTGTTCCATGTTCTCTTAATTTTATGCATACAATCATTAAAAATGGAACAATGTGATTTGAGATTATCCAATAGTGTTAGAGTTTTTTTTCCCTGATGCTATTTAAGCATCAGGACAAGGAAGCAGTGAGGTTTAAAACAATGATTTACGCAAAACACTCATTTCATAACCCCAAGGTATTTACTAATCTACCATTTTTTAATTCCTTTCTCTCAGTCTATTCTGAATTCAATGCTCCCCCGAGCTTCAACATCCAAAGAGGTCGATGCTAGTCTACTTTCAGTTATTTCCTTCCCAGCCTTTGCAGTAGAAGATAGCCAGTTGGTGGAGCTCACAAAACAGGAGATCATCACCAAGCTTCAGGTGTGTGCATTGCTTTTCTTTTCTCCTTTTTTAAGACAAAGGGTCGTTTATAATCCTTGATATTCCAGGAAGAATAACATAAATTAAAGACAAAGTTCTTCTCCATAAAGTCTTTCACAGTGTGTGAAAATTTTGCTTTGTTGGTTTCTCAATGTTCTAACATAGCATGCTCACTTAAAAAAATACGATTTCATTGGCATATAGTTCACATATCATATAATTCAATTTTTTAAACATATTAAAAAGATTTTTCCATCGTCACCACAGTCAACTTTAGAGCATTTTCCTCACTCTTAGTTATTGGTTTCTCTCCAACCTCTTAAAAAAAACCTCCTCCAAAAAAAAAAAAGAAAGAAAGAAAAAAGCAAATTCACTGTCATTAAGTCAGTTCTGACTCATAGCGACTGTATAGGACAAAGTGGAACTGCCTCCATGGGTTTGCGAGACTAACTCTTGATGGGTGTAGAAAGCTGTCTTTCTTCCTTGGAGCTGCTGATGGTTTCAAATTACTGACCAACACTTAACCACTACAACAGCAGTGCTCCTGCACCAACCCTAAGAAATCTTTTTTTTATGTTCTTCTTTATATGAAACTCAGGATAGGTAAATCTATAGAGATAGGAACTGGATTAATAGTTTCTTAGCCTTAATCCTAGAAACTACTAATCCAGTTACTGTCTCTATAGGTTTACCTATCCTGGATTTCATGTAAAAGGATAAAAACCAACAACAACAACAAAATAAAACTGAAAAACCTCAATTAAAAAGAAAACAAAACAATTAAAAAGAAAACAGAAAATAATAAAAGCTACAAGTTTCAAGTGGGTCAAAAGGGAAAACAAATAAGGTATTAAATTGCTACCTAATTACATCTGCATTAATCCACTTTCCAATGCTTGCTGCAAAGGAGCCCTGATGCCATAGTTATGTGTCAGGCTGTTAACTGCAGTCAGAGTTCGAAACCATCAGCAACTCTAGGGGAGAAAGATGAGGCTTTCTACTTCTGTTAGGAGTTGCAGTCTCAGAAACTCACAAGGGCAGTTCTAGTCTGTCCTGTAAAGTCACTATGAGTTAGCATCTACCCTTATGCAGTTAGTTTGGTTTTTGGTTTGGAACGCACTCTGATAGCTAGGCTATTCACATCCTTGGCCAAGGATCAGAGGGGATTCACTTGAGGCTCAATCCACATGGAGTCCCTGCAAAGAGATTTTGATCTTACACTGTCCTCCATAGCCTTCTGCAAACCAAGTGCTCAGAAGTTAAGCTCTGATACCTTTCTCTCCTCCAGTCTTGGATTTTATTCTTTACAATATTTGGATTGCACAGACTGATATGCTTCTTCTATGTGGACTTAGCTGGCACTTCACTTAAATGGCTGCTTGTTTTGAGATAAGTCTGTAAGACCCCAGACACTATTCCTTCTGACAGCTGAGAACCATCTAATTTCTTCACCACACTTTGCTATAACACCCAGATATTCAGTGGTCACTTCCTGAGGGTATATATTGAGTAGGGCCACATCATAAGAACAAATTGTGCCTAGATAAGGTCTACAATTAAGTGTGAGCTCAAAATCCATCCATATGTCTGTGGTTTATATATGAAGGATGTTCTACACCTCAAAAGTGTAAAATACCAGTTTTTGTTAGCGTGCGACTTAGATTACCAATAGCTGGATAGAAACTAGGTCAAGAGTATTCAGTTATGAACATAATTCCAGGTGTGTTCTCCCCATGGAGGTCTACATAAGTAATGTTAAGCATTTTCCTAATGTCAGGTTGACCCTCACTTCTATTCACCAACAGAAGTGAAATCACCTTCTCTGAGAGAGGTCTCTCCTCCCCAACCTCTGAACTATTAAAGTTCCCTGATCAACCGTGTAGGAATGTATCTTGATTTGGGCTGATGTGGAACAATGCGGTATCGCAGGAACTCATTGGTCTTCTCGCTTTCTCCACGACATGAGAAACTAGCTTAGGTAAGGCCTCCTTTGTCAAAGTAGTAGTAGTCTGCAAATAAAGAGGGAACATATGCATTATGAGCATTAGACAGGCACACCACTTCATTGCTTGGGATCCTGGTTTAGAAGATTATGGCCTGAGAACAGATGCCTACCTTTGGCTTGGTGTTTGCCTTTGTACTGGACTCGTACAATATTTGTCCTTTTGTGATTGACTACCTTAGCTCAGCATAATGGATTTCAAGTTCATCCATGTCATGAGGCGTTTTGTAGTTTCATCACTGTTTTTTTAGGTATGCAGCACATTCTGCTGTGTATGTGTACAAGATTTTCTTCATCCATTCTTATGCTTGTGTTAGTCCAGGTGGACTAGAGAAACAAATTAATATTCAAGTTTGAATGGCTAACATTCAAATGAGCCATTTGAATGACATTTTTGGTAAACTGTCTATTCATATCTTTTACTCACTTTTAAATTGGATTATTTGTTTTCATTTATGGAGATGTAAAATTATATCATTTTAGGACTTAGTCCCTTGTCCATTGTTTCACTGCTAAAGATTTTCCCTAGCCCCCCTGCTCTCATTTTACTTTTTGATGACGTCTTTTATTGTACATAAGTGTCTTATTTTTAGTACATCCCAGTCATCTATTTTGTCTTACACCGTGTGTGCTTCCTTTATTATATTTGGTAGTATGTGTATGCCCTGTAATAGGACCCTTAAGTTCATCTCAATTTTCTCATTGATGACCTTTATATCTCTGGGATTTGCATTTATGCCTCTAATCCATCTTGAGTTCACTTTTGTACGTGGGATGAAGTATAGGCCCTATTCCATTCTTCTGTAGCTAGAGATCCAATTTTGCTGACACCAGTTGTTTTTCTCATTCAATGTTTTTTGGATTTTTGTCAAAAATCAGTTGCCTATTGGTGGATGCATTTCTTTCTGGGGTTTCTGTTCTGTTCCATTGGTCTATGTATCCATCACTGTACCAGTACCAAGCTGGTGTGACAATTGTGTCTGTCTAAAGATTTTGGGGTATGGTAGTGTCAGGCCTCCTGCTTTGTTCTTCCTCTTAAGTACTGTATTTATAGATTGCTTTGTGTAGTATTGACAGATTCACTATATTACATCTTCCTGTGATTAACAAGGACAGCTTTCCATTTGTATAGATCTTTTGGTTTCTCATACTAGTGAACTGTCGTTTTTTGTGTAAATTTCTTTTGTTTCTTTGGTTAGGCTTATTCTAACCATTTCCTCTTTTATGTGCCTATTGTAAATGTAATTGTTTTCCTGATGTCTTTTTTGGAGCTCCCTTCTCTGGTATACAGGAATCCAAATCATTTCTACTTGTTAATCTGGCATCCTTTCACTTTGCAGAATCCCTTGATCATTCCCAATGACATTTTTGTGGCATTTGGGGGGTTCTATATATGTAGGATCATATCATCTGCAAATAGCAAGTTTTTTCACTTCTTTGCCCAGTTGCATTCCCTTGATTTATTTTTGTTGTCTAATGGTTTGGGCTAAGACTTTGCGCTTGATGTTGAATAAGGATGATGTTGAATAAGGTATTTGTTTTCTGGTTCTTACTTACAAGGGAAATGCGTTCAATTTTTCCCCTTTGAGAGTGATGTTGGCAATTGGTTTTTCATATGTGTTAATACTTTATTATCTTGAGGAATTTCCCTTCTATTCCTATTATTTTGAGTATTTTTATCAGAAATAGGTGTTAGCTTTTTCTGCATCTATTGATATGATCATGTGGTTCTTATTCTTTGTCTTGTTTATGTGGTATACTACATCGTTTTCCTAATGTTCAACCCTCCTTGCATCCTTGATATGAATCTCATTTGATCAGGTTGAATTGTATTTTGATATTTTGTTGGATTCTATTAGCCAGAATTTTGTTGAGAACTTTTGCATCGATATTCTTGAAGGACATTGATCTGTAGTTCTCTGTTTTTGTGAGGCCTTTGCCTGGTTTTGGAATCAGGGTTATGCTCACTTCTTAGAATGAGTTTAGGAGTTTTTTGTACCTTTCTATATTCTGGGTTAGTCTGCGTAGAATTGGTGGCAGACTTTCCATGAATACTTGATAGAATTCCCCTGTGAAACCATCAGGTCCTGGGCTTTTCTCGGTTGGGATTTTCTTGATGACCTTTCTACTTTTGTTATAGACCTCTTTGGGTTTTCTCCATCAGTCTCAATAAATGTGGGGGTATAGTGTATTTCTAGATATTTGTCCATTTCTTTTAGGCTATCAAACTTATTGGAGTACAGTCTTTTACAGTAGTGTGTTGCTCTTTTTATTTCATTTGCTATGTTGTGATGTCACCCTTTTCTTCTCTAACTAGATATTTGCATCTTCTTTCTTTTCCTTTGTTAAGTTTGCCAGTGATTTGTCAATTTTGTTAATCCTTTGAAAGAACCAATTTCTTTTCTTGTTGATTTTTTCATTGTCTTTCTATTTTCCAATTCATTAATTTTTTTCCCCAAAATCATTTTATTGGGAGTTTTAGTACTATTATATTTTAATTGTCCTTTTATAAGCAGTTTCTTTTAAAAACCTATCTAAATAGGTGTTGAAAGAATTAGTCATTGCTGGTTGGGGTGCAAAATAATAGAGCCACTTTGAAAATGAGTTTGGTAGTTCCTTACAAATTTACACATGTACTTACCATATGACCCAAGAATCTTTCTACTAGGTAATTGCAGAAATAAAAACTTATGTTTACACAAAAATCTATATGCAAATGTTTGAAGAAATTGTCTCACTTCTCTAGTACTGCTATAACAGAAATACGATGAGGTTCTATAAACAGAAATTTATTTTCTCACATTTTAGCAGGCTAGAAGTCTAAATTCAGGGAAGTGGATCTAGGGGGGAGGCTTTCTTTCTCTGCTTACTCTTGGGGAAAGTCCTTTCCTCTCTTTAGCATCTTTTTCTTGGTTCTTTGGATATCTCATGTGGCATAGAATCTCTGTTCCTTCATTTCTGCTTGCTTGCTTGCTCAATTTTCTCTTTTATAATCTCAGTGGAGATCAGCTTAAGGCACACCTACAGTAATATTGCCTCATTAATATAATACAGATAATTCATTCCCAAGAATTATAACTACAGGTTTAGGTTACTATGTACAAATTTTGGTGGGGGTGGGGGTGCACAGTTCAATCCATAACAAAAACTTTATTCACAGGCACCATTGGCATTGAAGACCTTATCTGCCTTAAGGGACCAATCCCATATTACTCCTTTCTTTATTAGCTGGTACATAGGCACACTAACTGGATCAGGTAAGAGATACAGGGATGACTTCACAAGAGTGGGGTATACTTTGACCTCAGGGACAGTCTTCATTTTACCAAACCACATAATACCCAAGACATTCACCACTCAGTGGGGCAGGGGCCTGTCAGCTGGTGCATCTCCAGGCCAGCAGGAAGCGGTTCAGCAGTTCAGCAGTTGCCAGGTCTCAGGGAACCACACTTAGCTGGTAGGGGAGGTCAATCCCAAGGCTTGCCACTACAACAAGCTTGGTCTGAAAGGGAGGAATTTCCATTCTTCCACGTACTGCTTTCCTCCTTCTGAGTCCATAGAAGATTCTGAGGATTGCTAGCACTTAAAGTCCCACTCTCTCCTTATGAGTACTTCCCACTCTAGCTACCACCCTCTCATGTTCCCTAAGTGACTTGCTGGTGTTTATACCACAGCTGAATCTGGAAACATATGAGGGTGTACCCAAAAAACCCTGGAATTCCACCCTTCCCTCAAAGCTAAGTATTTAATTTTTTTCTTTTTTTACAAAACACCCTTATCACCTTCAAAGTACTCTCCATTGCACTTAATACATTTGGCAAATCCACGTTTCCATTCTTGGAAACATTTTTCAAACTCATCTGTTTGGATGGCTGACAGCACCTCCCTCATTTTATTCTTCACCTCTTCTACATTGTCAAATTGCTGTCCTTTCATGTCCCTCTGCATTCATGGGGGACAAAAAGAAGTTTCAAGGAGCAAGGTCAGGTGAGTAAGGTGCATGGGACAAGAGGGGCATGATGTTTTTTGCGAAAAAAATGGTGCACTGAGATGGCTATGTGAGCAGGTGTATTAGTGGCAAAAACCAGTGCCCTGTCTGCCACAAATCAGGCCTTTTTTGTTGCACACTGTTGCATAATCTTTTCAGAACTTCTAAATAGAAAGTTTGATTAACAGTCTGACCTGGTGGAACAAACTCCAAATGCACTACAAGTCTACGTTTTCATCCTTTCAGGAAGTTGACTGATCCAGATTGAGGTTTGTCATCAATCGACATTTCACCTTTTTTGAAATGAGAAAACCACTCGTGTGCTTGAGTTTTTCCACAGCGTCATTCTTGTGAGCTGTGTTCAACATCACAACAGTTTCTGTGGTATTTTTCGGGAGAAGGAACCAAAATTTCACAGCCACATGATGTTCTTTTAAATCGGCCATCACACACACAAATGAGGTTCGAGCGAAACTTATTTATGGAAAAATTCACTGTGACCAGAGAGAACCTTCCCAGGTGAAGTCACTGTGTGCACTAACTTACAGCGAGTTGCTCAATGATCGCTTAGTGGGAAAAATGCATACTACTAAAGCTCCGCTCCACCCACTGCAATTCTGGTTTGTGTTTTTTTTGGGGGAAGGTAGGTGGAAGTACCCCTTAGTATATATATATATAGTAATTGAATTGTCAAGACTTACCTTATGGTAAACCGCATGAGAAGGATAATTTTAGGAACTCTGCCTTAGTGAAGAGCTTGAAACTTAGCCCTAACTTGATATTACATTACTGAAATATGTTCCCACTGCTGGGCTGATTTTAGTTTTTCAGAATTACTATTAAGTGTTATATCTGTATTGGTGATCAGTTCATACATGTAGATGCTCCAAAGAATGCATTTATTCAAACTTTTTTTTTCTGCTTGCCCAGGGTCGTTATGGTTGCTGTCGCTTTCTGAGAGATGGATATAAAACTCCTAAAGAGGTAGGTTCCCCCCTCCTCAAATGAACCCCACACAGAATGGTCACTGCTAACACTGATTCTGAGGAAACATTCAATTCATTGATAATAATTATATAGACCACTGTGTAGGGTGGTCATAACAAAACTATTTGATAAGAATGGGAATTCCAGAACACTACATTGTGCTCATGTGGAACTTTTACATGGATCAAGAGATAGTTCTGCAAACTGACCAAGAGAATACTGCATGGTTTAAAATATGAAATGGTGTGCATCAGGGTTGCATCCTCTCACCATATTTATTAAATCTGTACGTTGAGCAAATAATCAGAGAAGCCGGATTATATGAAGAAGAGTGTGGCATCAAGATCGGAAAAAGTCTTATTACAAACTGAGATAAGCAGATGAAAGGACACAACCTTGCTTGCTGAAAGTGAGGGGGACTTCAAGCACTTGTTGATGAAGATCAAGGATTGCAGCCTTAAATGTGTTTTCAGGTTCAATGTAAAGAAGACCCAAATCCTCACAATGGACCCATGGGTAACAGCATGATAAGTGGAAAAAAGATGGGAGTTTTCAAAGGTTTAATCTTTTTTTTAAAAGATCATTTTATTGTGGGCTCTTACAGTTCTTATAACAATCTATACATCAATTGTATCAAGCATATTTGTATATATGTTGCCACCATTATTTTGTAAACATTTACGTTCTATTTGAACCCTTGGTATCAGCCCTTCTTTTTACCCTCCCTCACCACCTCCCACCCTCGTGACCCCTTGATAACTTATAAATTATTATTATTTTCATATCTTACACTGACTGCTGTCTCCCTTCCCCCATGGTTTCTTTCCCCCTACTCTCCCCAACGCCCACCCCCTATACTCCTGGTATCATTACTCCCATTTCTGTTCCTGAGGGGATTATCTGACCTGGATTATATGTGTTGTGAGCTCTTATCTGTACCTGTGTACATGCTCTGGTCTAGCCCACAGTGAAAGGCAGGATTGGGCTCATGATAGTGGGAGGTGAGGAAGCCTCAAGGAACCAAAGGAAACACCATATGTTTCATTGGTACTATACTTCACCCTGGTTGACTCATCCCTTCCTTGTCACCCTTCTGTGTAGGGATGTTCCACTGTCTACAGATGGGTTTGGAGTCTCTGCTCTGACACCCCTCGTTCTCAACAATATGGTTTTCTGTTTTTTGTTTGTTTGGGGTTTTCTGATGCCTGTTACCTGATCCCATTGACACCTCATGATCTTACAGGTTGGTTGGTGTGCTTCTTCCTTTTGGGCTTGATGGCTGCTTGTTTAACTTCAAGCTTTTAAGATCCCAGCTGCTATATCTTTGATAGCTAGGCACCATCAGCTTTCTTCACCCATTTGCTTGTGCACCCATTTTGTCTTCAGAGATCAACAAGGGTCTCATCTTGTTTGGAACCACAATCAATGATCATGGAAGCCGTAGCCAAGAGATGAAAAGACATGTTGCATTGGGTAAATCTGCCTCACAAGACCTCCTTAAAGTATAGAAAAGCTATGATATTACTTTGAGGACTAAGGTGGTCTACTCAAAGCCATGGTATTTTTCAGTTGCCTCATATGCTTGTGAAAGTTGGACATTGAATAAGGAAGACTGAAGAAGAATTTATGCGTTTGAACTGTGATGCTGTAGAAGAATATTGAAAGTATCAAGAATGGCTAAAGGGACAAACCAATCTGTCTTGGAAGAAGTATGGTCAAAGTGTTCCTTGGAGGCAGGGATGATGAGATGTCATCTTGCATATGTTTGTATATACTGTCAGAATTGACCAGTCCCTGGAGAAATAAGGTGGATTGACATTTTGACTGTGCTAATGGACTCAAGCATAGGAAAAATTGTGAGAATGGTACAGGACCAAGTAGTGTTTCGTTCTGTTGTATATAGGTTTGCTATGGGTCAGAACTGACTTGATGGCCCCTAATACCCCAAATGGCAATAGGATAGCAGTAATGGATGTTTGCTACTTGTGTTTACTGATTGTAGG